GTCGCCGCCGCTCTTGCTGCCGCGGCCTCGTCGGCCTCGCCCTCCGCCCTTGACCCACCCTCCGCCCTCGACATGGCCGTCCGCCTCGACGCCTGGCCCGGGCGGTCAGGCATGGCCCCGTCTGCCGCACCGCCGGTCTTTGTCCCTGCCCTCCTCGCCGCCTGCCCGCCTCCCCGGCTGGCCGCAGAGTATGCCGCCTCGCTCACCGCGGCGCCCGGCTCGGTCGATGCAGCCGGTGCTGCGGTAGTGGTCGCCGCTCTGAGAGCCGCAAAGCGCCTCAGCCCGGACAATGCGGCTGTCATCGCAGATGCGCTCGTTGATCACTGGCTGCCGGTCTGGGCCGCTGCTGTGGCAGAGCTTGCTATTGTGGCCGCTGGCCCGCGCCTGGCGGAGGTAAGTCTCTTTGGCTTCCTCTACCGCATGCTCACCGCATCCGTGGGCGTCTCAAAACCGCACACCATTCTCGAGCGGCTGGTGCAGAGCGCGCACTCGGCGCTCACCTTTCGTCTGGTGGTCTGGACCTGCGATCTGGGCATTGCCGCCGGCGTTGCTGCCGTCGCTTGGTCCCGCCCGCGCGGCTGGCAAACTTGGGCCGCTGCCCCCTCGCCGGGCATTGTTCGCGCCCAGCAGACCCTCGCCTGGATCCGCGCCCGGGTCCTCCCGCATTCGGGCCATCTTGCGCTCGAGTGGGGCGCCCGCGTTGGCGTTGCCTGCGTCGAGGCACTGAGCGCCGCCCGCGAAAAGGTCTCCCCGCGCTGCACGCCCACCTTTGTCCTTGACGTTGCCCTCGCCGCAGACGCCCTTGCTGCGCATGTCGAGTTGACGCTGGCCACCTTGGCGGTCGCCTGCGCCATCCCGCCGGCCCAGCTACCCGACACGCTCCGCGCCGCCGCTGCAGACGTTCTGCTGCAGGTTTCGGTCCGCCGCCACATCCGCGTTGCCATGGCTGCTGTCGACAGCCTCCTTGTCTTGCAGGACCTCGCTCTCTCCGACCTCGCCGCGGCCTTGCCAAACTCCTCGATTCGCATGCAGCGCGATGTTGTTGCTGCAATCCGCAAGGCCAACGTCTACGCTGCCACCCACGCTGCGCGCGAGCTGGGGCGTCCTGCAGTTGCCAAGCTCGGCGCCCACCCGGTCCGCCACCTCTTGCGGCCCGCCGCTCGACAGGCGTCACTGCTGCCAGCGCCGGTAGTCCTGAGCGCGTGGCTAGAGGCAGAGGGCCCACGTGGCATCGTCGCTCTGCTGGATGTACCTCCTTCGGCCATGGCATCGGAGACTCGCGAGGTCCTCGTCCGCACCACCCTCGCCACCGTTGTTCTCTTTGCTGCTATTCCGCTCCGCGAGTGGTTTGCTGCTGTTCTCGACGCTGATCTTGCTGCAACAGCGGACGCCACCGCGCTCCGTGGCAACTCGACTCTGCTACGGTTCGTAGTGCGCGCCGTCTCACTCGCCGCGCACCCGCTCCTGGCAGCGTCAGCGCTCCGTCTGGTCAAGGCAGGCACCTGCGGCGTCGACGACGTGCTCAACGCAATGGGCACGGCCGTTGCCTCAGCGCCACTCCTGAGACTCCTAGGCGAACTACTGAGCTTGGTCATTGCCCGAACCAGCCGGCAAGTCGGCGTGGCCTTCTTCTTCCTCCGCGTAGTCTCGCCCACGCTCATCGATGTCGATCCGACGTCGGCCGACATTCTGGCGCTCTCGCGGAGCCTGCAGAACCTTGCATCGAGCGCCGAGGCGGATGCCCGCATCGACACTGTTGTCGACGCTGCGCTGCAGGCCGCCGAGACTCAGCCTACGATGGGCCCAGACGATCGGTGGCGGTTGGAGGAGCTGGTGCGGTGCCGCGAGGCGCTGGACGTAGACTCGGGTCCGGCGCCGACTTGGCTCCTTGAGCGCATGGCGGCGACGAGTGTGTAGCTGTTGTTTGCTTTACGCAGCGGCGGTGAGGACGTGGGCGAGCGAGGCAATGAACATGTCCACAAGAGTGGCAGCCGGTGTGCGGACCGAGACGTGGGTCGACGTTGAGGTGACCCGGACCTCGGAGAGGAACGGCGCCTCGCCGATGGAGGCGCAGAAGAAGGCGATACGGGTGCCGTCGTCCGAGACGCGCGAGGCGATAAGATGGACGTTGAACTGGGAAGTGGCGAGCGAGTCAAAGTCGCCCACCGAGAGGCCGGGCACCTCGCGGACCGTCTCGAGCGCCTCCATGTTGCGCCAGCCCTGCAGGAAGACGCCGCGCTCGATGGTGCTGCCGTCAAAGAACACAAAGAGAGGGACCGCAACCTGAAAGTAGACAACGCCAGCGTTGGTCTGGATGGCGACCTGGAGCGCATCGAGCGGTGTGCCCTCGTAGCTTTGCGGCTTGGTGGCGTGCGAGAGAGGGAGCGTAACGGTCGTGCTGCCGCCGGTCGGAATGCTCTGGACGAGCGTGCCGAGTGCCACAGTCGGTGCAAGCGAGAACGTGTTCTTGTTGAACTGGACCGCAAACTGGTTCATAGCCACCATCGATCGGTTGGCGAGTTCGAGCACAAGGCCGACCGAGTTGCCATTGCGCACAAAGCCAGCATCGATCTGGAGACCCTTGCCGGCAGCAGACTCGAGAACGCGCGCGGTGGGTCCGGCAACCGAGCTCACGGCACTCGACGATGACCCGTTGGCCGGTCCGCCGAGCAAACCGTCCATGAGCAACGAGCCGGAGCTCGACGACGGGGCAGAAGGACTCGGTGATGCCGCAGGCGCCACCAGATCCAGCAACGATGCCGGAACAGCCGAAGCCGGAGCAGGCTCCGGCGTAGGTGTTGATGACATGAGGTCGATGAGCGAGCCGCCAGCGGGAGCTGCAGCCGGGGCAGCGGCGGGCGCCGGAGCAGGTGCAGAAGCCGGCGCCGGGGCGGGGGCGGCCGGCTGGTCCTGGGCAGGCCCGTCAGCCGCGACCGGTGACGGCTCCGGCGATGCCGCGCGGTCGTTGCGGGCATTCGGAGCAGCGGTCAGCGCGTCAAACGGCCGATGGTAGACCGAGGAGAGCTGCGAGATCTGCGAGAGAAGGTGCGAGAGGAGGCCAGGCTCGATGGCGGCCTCGTCTGACGAGATGCGCGGGCGGTCAAAGATGAGCAGGCGCGCCGCGTCCGGCTTGGACGACAGCAGCCGCCAGTACATGTACGCACGGTCGCGAATGTCTGGATCGCGCGGATCGTTTGTGGCAAGGTCGAGCAGGCGAGTGACAAGCTGTTGAGCGTCGTTGGGCTTCTTGAGATAGCACTTGACGACGGCAGGCACCAGGGCGTCGCGGACGCACGTCGGATGCGCTTCCCAGTCGTCGAGCCACTCGTCGAGCATTTCCGCTGCAGCATCAGCAAGGTGCGCGTGCTCACCGAGGATCCAGACCAGCGCGGCAAGCGCCTCGGGCGAGGCGATGCTGTCAGCAAGCTCCAGAACCTTGACGGCAGCGACCTCAAAGTCGTCTGGGTAGCGGCGGAGAATGTCCTGCAGCGCAATGGCCGTCTCCTCCACCAGTAGGTGCGACATGTGCGACTCGTTGCGCTGCGAGACCTGGATGGCGGTGAAAAGGGCCTTGACACCGAGGGCGGCCACATCGGGCAGTCGGATCGCCAGCGACTTGACTGCGCGGACTGCATGCTTGATGAGCACCGCATCGATGTCGACCATGTAGCTCGAAAGCTCCGAGAGGACAGCTTCGGCGTTGCGCGACGACGTCAGCCGCGCAAGCAGATCCACCTTGAGCGTTTTGACGTACGGCGGGTCGTCGTAGCGAACAAAGAACCGCGGAACCTCGTTGCGGAGCAGCAGCGGGTGTGCCTCGGCGATAAGCATCATCGACCGCAGCGCGACGTACGCAATCTCGGGTTCTGCAGAGACAAGCGAGCAGAGCGGCGCAGAGAGCTTCATCATGCTCGCCTGGATCGTGTTCTGGTTGCCCATGTACTTGACAAAGTGCAGGACAACGTTGACGGCCGAAAGGACTACCGCAGGATTCGCATGCTGCAGGTGTGGCGTCGCACGCTCGACAACACGCTCGGCCGTATTCGTGTCCGGCGGGACAAACCGGACGAGCGAGTCAAGAAGAAAGACTTGACCCCACTCGTTGGCCTCAGTCAGCGCAGCAAGCATGTGCCGCAGCCGCGCCGCCGTGATCTGGAAGACAGGCTCGGGCGCCGAGTCGGAAATGTCCGCCAGCGCCGCAACAGCGTTGGACACCACCGCCGCGTTCGGGTCCGAAACCAGGTCAACCAGAGCCTCCACAAAGCCCTGGTCGACCGCCAGCTCGGCATCAATGTCGTACAGCTTGGCCACGCACACCGCCGCTGTCTTGCGCACATATGGGTCGACATCGCCCAGTGCCGCACGCAGTGGGTCCGACAGGTACTGCACAATCTCGTGGACCTGGATGCATGACATGGTGCGGATGGCGAGTGCCCGGATAAGCGGATTGTGCGACGCTGCGTCGCGCGTAAAGGTTGACACAGCCAGAATCGCCTTCTCCGGCTCGGTCTTGGCGTAGTTCATGAGGTAGAGATAGACCAGCTTCTTGAGCTCCAGGTTGGTCGTCTGGATGCACTTGAGCACCTCCACAAACAGCGCACGCACGTCCTTCCCACTGTCATTGCCGCAATGATCTTCTTCATAGCCATGGCCTGATCGCCATCGTCCAACGACGCCAGCGCCCGCTTCAGCTCATGCACCTCGCCTGCCCCAGCCACAAAGTCAGCCACCGAGCAAGTCACAAAACCAGGTGACCAGCCACCACATCCCCACCACCACATCCATTCCAGCTCGTGAGTGAGTCACTCCCTCTCCACAAGGCCACTGCCACCGCCATCCCTCATTCTTCCTCCTCCTCCCTCCCCTCCCCTCCCCTCCCCCCCTCCCCTCATTCCTTCCCTTCCCCCAGCCGCCGTCCCTCTCGCCGCCCATGCCCCCTCCCCCTCTTGCCCACCGCCTCCGACACATGCTTCCACCCTCTGCGACCACCCGCTTGTGTCCACCCCCTTCTCCCCTCCCCCTCCCGCCCTTCTCCCCTCTCCCCCCCCTTCCACCTTCTGCACGCATGCATGCCCTCTCCCCTTCTCCTCCTTCATTCCCTCCTCCTCCAGCTACCTACCTTTCTTGGTCGTGGTAAAGAAGTCCGCCATTGGTGACGGGGCGTCAAGTCGTGTGCTGGCCAGAGAGACAGCCACCAGGGCAACAGACAGAGGCACCATTGTTTGGTCTCACAGTTCTGCCACTATCACCCCCCCCCCCTCCCTCCTCCTCCTCCTCCCCCATCTCCCCCGCCTATGACCCACACCTCGTGTCTCTTCAGGCGGCCCCCCACCGACTTGCTCTTGCCCACGCCCCGCTTGCCCCGAGAGAGCCGAAGCTTCAGGCTGCCGATCTGCAGGTGGCGGAAAATGCGCTTGACCTGGATGCTGGTGAGTCTCTTCTATCTGAGACTGAGCCCAACGTCTATCGTTACCGAGGCCTAGGTTGCTTATCTGCTACTGAGCTAATGCCCATTTTGCCGACATGTCGCCGTGACACGGGCCTGACTATGCGCCTGACACAGATCAGCAGGTGCCCGAGTAAATGTTGCGGAGATTCAGCCGCAGGTTGTTGCTGACGCGATTTGCCGCGCGAAGTGCAAGCTGTCGAGCCAATCTTGCTCATG